GTCGTGGTGCGCGGGCGGGTGGAGGGGGGGGGGGGGGGGGGGGGGGGGGGGGGGGGGGGAGGGGGGAGATTGTACCGAAAATCAAATTAATCTAGATGGCAGCTGCATTGGTTTCGGTCCATCTTTAACTTTGATTGAGACGGATTGATTTATGTAAGTGTTACAAATTTTTACCAATGAAAAATAAGAAAAGAAAATTCTTTTTATATTTCAAGGTCATTTGTTGGTTATTGATTGTCACATCATCAAATTAGACCGACAATACACGAAAACAAGAAAAAAAACAAAGAAAGAAGATCTGAATTGAATGATAAGCACCTCATTTTTTCTTCATTGATCTTATCTATGATAAAATTTTTGATGAGATAAAAAATATTCATACATATATATATATAGTCAATAGTAAAACAAACGTTCGCACTTTGAAAGACTACACAATAACAATAGAAAAGTCTTGATGATGAAAAATGAAAATGCACACTAATTTAAAGAAAAAAAAAAAACTTGTTTTTTGTTTGCTTTGTCATGATATAAAACAGATATATAAATACTGATCAGATTGATATAACATTAAAAAAAAGAATAAATACAAAGATAGTGAAAAAGACATGTTGAGATGTGTGGTGTGAAGACGCACTGTATTATTGTACATATTCATTCACCGTCCATTTGTCCTATAACGGAGAGAACACGCATTGATTTTGCACCATGATCACTTTGTGAACATCTATCTAGTTGACAGCAAATTATATGTATATGTGACATGGACATGGCCAAGATTCATATCAATCAAACAAAAACCAAGCGCATCAATGTACAAATGATTATCGTGCAATCAAGCTGCAAATGCATAACATAGCGAAAGGTTAAAACAAAAATGAATAAGAAAACATTGTTGTATATGTATATGTATATATATGTTGGCGTCCAAACTCGGATTTCGTCCAATCTCGGATTGGACGTAAATTCATCAGGCCAATCTGAGATTCGCCTAGGCAATCTGAGATTGGACGGAATCCGAGTATGGACGCTGACATATATATATATGTAGTTATCATGCATACTTCGGTAACAATATTGAACTAAATGTAATATTACATTCATTTAAGGGGAAGGGGGCGACATTGGGAAAGTAGAAATACAAAAAAAAAGATAAGTATTAATGCGCATTACAAGCATTTTGAACACAGCAGAAATAAAGCAGTAATAATTAAAAATGATTATATATAGGTCTAATTTGATGATGATAAAAATAGGTAAGTTAAAAAAGTGAATTAAAGTTGCTGTCAACTAGATATAATTTTTTTTTTAATAAATGAAGAATAAAAATTCAAATTAAATCTTACTTTCTAGGTTTTGGTATTCCACATATTGAATCATCGCTATCATAATCGACATTTATCGGTTTTGATATTGCTCTTCGATTATTATTTTTTCCATTAAGATTTGATTCTCGATTATTAAATGTCATTGAATCTAAGGATTTATAACGAAGTAAAGCAGCTCGATTAATACGTTCAATATTAGCTGTTGACATTGATGATGTCGATGATGATGGTGATAGATTTCCATCTCCTCCTCCTCCTCCTCCTCCTATGAAATCACGACTTATTGATCGTGGCTGTCGATTGTATCTACTAGGTTCATTATGATTTGTTGATGAAAAAAAAGAATTCTTATTATTTTGACTTTTCGATGATATTGATGAAGCTTCTTGATATAGATCAGCACTTTTCGAACGCTTCATTTGTTTACGTCGCTGAAAACGACGACGAATTTGTTGTTGTTGTTGTTGTTGTTGTTGTTGTTGTCCATTATTGGATCGTTCATTTTGTGATTGTTCGACCAGTTTTGTACATATTGATCCTTGAGATTGTTGATGACCATTAATTAACGAGGTATTAATTGGTGTTGTTAATGATATATATTCTCTTGGTCGATAATGGTATGAAGTAGGTGGAGGGGTATAATTATCGAATTGTTCATACTTATTATTATTATTAACTATTTTACCATTACCATTATTATATGTTAAAGGAGAATATGTTTGCTAGAAAAAGAAGAATATTGTTTTTATTTGTTGAGAGAAAATGTTAGTTATAAGAAAGAAAAATGTTTCAAATGACAAAATTCTATTAAGATTGTACAAATACTTGCATAATCTTAAATAATTTTTGTAATGAAAAAAAATTCAGAGAGTTTGTGTTCTTTTCATCTTTTAGTTTTACCTTTCCAGAATAAAAATCTGCTTGTGTAGGCGATCGATATTTTTGCTGAGCAGTATTTACTGATGAAGCCAAACTAGTAGAACGTACAGCATACAATGGAGTATTACTCTTGTTTGATAATCGATGCGGTGAGCCTTGCGAAAGTGATTCTGACAATAATATTGATGATGATGGAGGTGTTGCGTACGATGAAGAATTTGATAAAGGTTGAGATGCATGTAAAGGAGGAGGAGGTGGTGGTGGTGGTGGTGGTGGCGGCGGCGGTGGTTGCGGTAGTGGTATTGAATATGCAGGATTCGGTACTAGAAAATCTGAATGACGAACATTAGGATGACGAATTGTGCCACTAAGAGAAGCAGCTGACGAAGATGTTGATGAATTACTTGGAGTATTTCCCATACTATTAAGTATACTACGTGACTTTAATGGTACTGTTGTTTTTGGTTGTGAAGATAACGATTGATAAAGTGGACGAACCATATTTGTATTTATTGAATACGGTTCAACTTTGGCCACATTTTTTAAACGTGTTGTTGTCATTTGATCATGATCATTTAGACGACGAAAACGATAAGCATCATAAGAAACTTCAGATGATGGCATTGGATTGCTATTATTTGAAAAATTTATTGATTCAGGACTAAAATATATATATATATAGAGAGAGATAAAGAAGTAGATAAATACTGATTAATTTTATCTAATATAAAGAAATGGAAAACAAAAGAAATAGAATTATATAATAGAACTAATTGTTTTGATTACTTGAATAAGGCATAAAGCAAAAAAGTAGTAACAACAAAAACAACACTGACTTATCTTTGAGCATGAATAATGTCAAATAAAAGTAAATCCCTCAATCTAACAACTGTACATAAAGAGAAAGAGAATGAGAGAGAAAATGTTTAGATTTGATCACATTCACAAGATGTAGTAGATGAAGAGAACGAGAATATCTGTTTCTGTTTATTTTTGATTTGTCTTGTGTTCATTCTTTCTACCATCGGTCGACAAGAAAAAGAAAGAGATAAAAGATCATGATATTGTTCATACATAGAACAAGGAGTTTTTGAAGGGAAGAAAATAGAGAAATATACTATATCGCTTATTTTTTTTTTTTTTCGTTCTATGCAACGAATCTTTGGGGTCAGTTATGATAACTCCTAAATTTTTTTTCGCTCTCTCACTTGCTCTTTCTCTCTCTCTTTCTCTCTCTTTCCTTGATTTATCGCTGTATTGCTAGTACAGATGATTAAAAATCGATTTGAACATGTCCTCAATCATTACTAATCCTAAAGTATTCGTTGATGCTTTTGTTCATTCAAACCAATAGGAGACAGATGATCATTCTATGTCAAGTATTTACGTATATGTTGTGAACACAAAGCATGGCACGTACATAGACATTTACATATATATGTATATGGTTAAAATAAAATGAAATATGAGAAAATGTATTAACAATAGATGAATGAAGAATGCTGATACAGATTTATACTTTTGTCTCAAATGCAAAGAAAAAAAAGAATTTAACCTTGTCTGTCTCTTCATATTTTACAGTTACTAACAATTGATAGATGAATACTTTTAATTGACTAATAGTTGTATATGAATGTTCAAGTTCAAGAGAGACACAATAGAATTCATAGAACACTTCATTTTCTTTCTTTTTTTTTTTTTTTTATTCTTGGCGTAATGTAGTTAGATTGATACCTATTTCATTTTCTTATTTAGAGAAAGAAAAAAAAAAAAAAAAAAAAAAAAAAAAAAGGAAACTGTCGACATCAATGTTATTGCCTAGAGGGTTGTCACATATCGATTGAATTACAGTTCTACAGTTACTTTCAACACTACTTCTGAATTTTCCTTTTTCTTCTACGTCATCGTTTGTTACAATTTATTATTTTTTGGTATACAATGAAAGAAGACAAGAACTTGTGCATGGTCATCGGCATGATATGCAACTTAATCAGTAGTAGTGTTACTGGTGTTGAAAACATGAACTTCGATGACAAATGATGATTGACGTATCATACGCAATAAATTATAGTTAAGAGCCACTACGTAAATAGTAGGCGACATATCGATAATGGACAATGCATGTGGCCATGCCATTCAATTCTTATAATATAAGACTGTTATAGTACTTGATCTAACAACTGTCAATCAAATAGATAAATTTATCTTTTCTTTTTTTTTACTTCTATCGTTATCGTTTTTATCATTTTTATATTTATTGATAAGACAAAACAATTATTATGTACTTACCTATCAAAAGCTTTTTGACTTTTAAGTATAGGTCTTTTAAGTAATGGTGAAGATGTTGGTGCATCTTCTTGATTCATTGTTATTGGTTTAATTAAATTGTCACTTGATATTTTATGTATTTGTGATTCAATTGATTTTGAATTAGGAAGTTTTTGAACAAGTGAAGATGATAATGATAATACATCTGATTTATTTACACTTGTTCCATATATATTTAAATGTCGATTAAGATTTGATTCAACTGAATTAGTTTTTTGTTGTTTACTTATTGGTGAATTTATTAAATCAAGTGATGATGATTTTGTATTAAATAATTCTTGAAGTTTTTTAACACAAGAACCAGTTGTAATTGATGAAGAATTTTTATGAAGATCATCAATATGATCATCTTCATCATTATTATTCTTGATTTCTATTGAACTTTTACTTTGATCAAGTAATGTTCGATAAGGTTCTTTTTCCTGTTGCTGATTAATTATCGTATATGGTGAAGGAGATCGAACAGGAAACGTAGGTGTTGTTGATGATGGTGGTACAATCGAAGAAGAAACATCATTTTGTAAACGTAAATCCCATTCCGATTTACTTATTGCTGCACAAACTCTTTTTGTACCAGTTGTAATTAATGGTTGATATGTAATTGCATTTTCATTTGATATAATTGATGATGTCAGCGGAACATGTGGTTCAATTTCAATAGTTAATGGTTCAATTTTAATAGTTAACGGTTCAATTTTTTTTGGTGAAACATTGAGTTCAGCACGTGATGTTGGTGGAGTATATTTAAGAATTGGTCGGACTGAAGCATTTGTTTTATTTGATGATGATGGTGATGGTGAAAGTTCTTGTTCATCAATTGCTTGTTGATGTTGCAGACGAGGTGCTGGTGATTGTTTTACCGAACAATTATCATTATGTGCTGAACTTGATGTTAATTGTGATAAATATGTGCATGACGATGAAGATAAATTCGATGGTAATGATGATTTTGATCTTTGAGAAGCTTCATGAAATGCTGCTCGTCGATCATTTTCAAGTGAACGACGATTTTGTATATTAATAATATTTGCACCTACAGGATCATAACGACGAATTAAACGAAGTACATTTGAATCCGTCATTATTGTTGAATTATGATTATTGCCATCTCCACCAACTGATGATGAAGACGGCATTCTTGTAGGTCCATTATCGTCACCCTAAAATATATAGATATCTATATATACAAATAAATTATAACCTTGAATCAGTTGTAAGAATGTGTATAATGCATGTCGCGTGGCAGTACTACGCTTTATACCCAAAAGCATATGGAATAGAGAAGAGACTAGAAAGAATCTTGCTCGTCCATCTGCCTTCTTTTTTTCACACGACAAATAACTTTGCATCGATAAGCAACAGAGAAAAAAAAACGAGAGAATGTAAAAGAGAGTAGCACAAAGAAGAGAAAAGAAAAAAAAAAGAAGACAAGAATTCTAAGTATCTTACATATACATATACAGATTGTTCTAATGATTAGACACATGCACATCCAACAGAGTATACTACCAATAGTTGTCGAAAGCAAGAAGCAAAAGCTACCCACTATCATCATCATTCATTATCATCTTGTCTTCTTGCTCGCATCTGTAAAAAGTATAGTTGTTGAGAGAAGAAGCACCGTATTGCGTCCCTGAACTGTTTGAGATTTCTTGTCGACTATATACTCAATCATGTCTTATAGAACAAAAAGAAATAAGGCCAAGAAAAAAATTCAACCAGATCAAAGAAAAAGTACACACACACACGCACACAGAAAAGAAAAGTTCAATAAAATTTTTTTTTTAAATTTACCGTTAGAATAAATGATAATGGAACTTTATTTTCTGTTTTTATGATTGTTAGTGGCTTGAATTGTTGTGATTGTTTTTGAACGTAACGATAACCTTTCTGACTCTCATTTGTTTTATTAGTAGTAGTGAAAATAGTATTATTTTTATTATTATTTTTCTGAGTCTTTATCACTTGAATTGGCACAGTAACAGTACCCCCATGTGTCGATGTAGTAGATGAGGAAGAAGAAGGAGAACATAATGATGATGTTATCACAGTACTAACAACTATTGGTGTATTGCTACTAGTAATATTGACCGGAATTGTGCAACGCAATTGTTTCTAGAATTATATACAGTCAATGAAGAGAAATAATGTACATATACCATATGTATTTATATATATATATATATATATACCTGGTCCAAAGACATATTATGCATAGGTGATAGAGATTTTTTCTTAATAATAATCATTGGTGAAGCTGAAGATATTGTTGTAAATCGTCGACGTCCATTTGTAATTAATGGACGAAAATCCATTTGTTTAACTTGAATATTTTTTGAGAATGGTGAATGAAAACATGCTGAATTTATATCTTGACATGTTGAAGAAATATTTGGAGATGTTAAAGGTTGTTGTATAATTGCTTTATCATATGCTTGATTACTCACTGAACAACGTACAATAGGTTCCGGTACAGTTAGATGTGTTATTGTATATCGTCGTTTTGATCGTTCATCTTTATTAATTGGTATAGATTTTGTTTTTTTCATCATCGATAAATTGTCACAATCAGATCTTGAATTTGATGAATATAAATTATTCGATATGTCATATGTACTGTTCAATGAAGTTGCATTATTTCTCATAATCATTTTAGGTTGTTGTTGAAAATTGATCATTAAATGATCATAGATGGTGGATGACGATGATGTTGGTGACATATTGACACTGTAGAAATCTATAAAAAAACAAGGACTCAAATAATAGAAGTGACTGACAACGACAATTATGAAGTAAAAAAAAAGTGGCAACACTCGTTAACGTCGTCTCTATTTGACTTTACTGATATTTAAAGTCATCATCACACATCAAGAACGAAAAATGGACGAGTAAAGCAGAGTGAGCAAAAGGAAAAAAAAAAGAGGATATATATATATATATGCGCATGCACATAAGCGTACTTCCCTTCAGGCAAAAAAGGTGCCAGAATAGCATTACTCTATTGTTAAATTGTTCGATTTAGTTAAAATCTTATCCGCTTAAATGACTATACTACTATTGAATGTTGTTATTTGCCTGCGAATGTCTTTCTTCTCAATGAGGCACAGTAATAGGAATAAACAGACAAGTATTGAAAAAAGGAAAGGTAAAATGAAGAACAAAAAATGGGCTAAGAGCCACAAATTGAAAGACAATATACTGACACACGATAAAAGAGAGAAAAACAGTCACACAAAGTAAACATACATATGCATACGATGAGAGTCTTACTTAGTCCAATTGAATTGATAAAAAATGTTTAATGTATTCATTTAAAGACGACGACTGTAATTATTATTATTTAATGATTTTAATCTAACTGATGATAAAATATAAAATAAAGCAGGTGTTCATATACTTTTTTTTTCTTTTTTTTCTTGTTTCGAGATTGAATGTTATGTAAAAACAAAAGAAAACAAGAGATAAAACGGGTAAGAGAATTCAATCGGCAGCAACATCTTAAAAGGGATTAGTCGAATGTTAGGTTTACTATAATGTACTATACAATCAACATGAATAGCAAACTGTTTAAAAGAGAGAAAGAAGAAGAACATATCCTTCGTGCGCACATTTACTACCTACGTATGTCAATGTTGTAACATAGGTGCTCCAACTTAAATTCAATTTATATCAAAACGACAAGATGGTGTAGGTGTATGTATATGTTATATACGCTGTATGTGTCTTGGTCAACAAATTATTAATATTCTTTTCTTTGTTGATTTGCAGTTTCATTTTCCAGACAGAAGAAGATTACAAGATTATTTTAATCAATGTCATACGAAACTAAACAATACATGAAAAATTACAACACATATGTTAGAGAAGTTTTTGTAATACAGTTTTATGTGATGATAAATGATAAGAATTGACATGTTACTGTCTCTCTCTCTCTCTGTCTCTCTCTGTCTCTTATGCCTACATGATAACCTTGAATTGTTAAAGATAAAAATAATACCTTGGAGTTTATCGAACCGAATCAAGAATGCATTTGTAGTTTTGCTTCATGACCGTCGGTTCTATAGGAAGTTACTTTTATTTATTTCTATTGTTTTGTCAAATGAAACCGTTGACTAATATGCTAATTCAAAAAAAAGGTCCTTCAAACACAAGAAAAAGATTTCTGAACATGTAAATAGACATAAATAATTTAGATAGTATGCCACCTTCTTGTTTAGAATGGTTAATGAGATAACAAATTCATTTGATTACTCTATTCTTCATTGAGTTCTAAATCACACTTATATGTATTGTCTATTGACATGACATTTGATTGCATGACAATGTACAACTAATGCATTACTACTACTTATACATTGTCGACTCTCTCACGATTGTAATTAGTAGTAATAGTATACTTATGAAGGAGAAAAGTATAATAATACCTGTATGTCAATTAGTATTCTGAAAGATATGAATAGCACTAACCTATATTGTATAGAGATAGTAGAGTATGTGATGAAGGGTTATCGACGACGAGGTCGAGCAAAAGATATATATATATATATTGATGAGTTGCTATTTAGGTTTGCTTCGTCTTCTCATCTTCTTTTTCTCATTGCAACGAGCGATGAATGAATCAATCATGCGCATAATAAGAATATATATTCTCGAGCGCGAGCAAAACTATATATGTGCAACATAAAAGTTGGTCAAAATAGAAACAAATAAGACGATGCATGTCCAAGTCTTATACTAGGCTGTTTCTCTTTTACACTTTATTACTGTTTCTCTTACTTCTTGTGATAGTGCGATCGGCAAGTCATTAAATCACTAGTCTATTTATGGTTGACAAGTGTCTCTACTTTTTTTTTCGTTTTTTTTTAAATACATCTTCATGTATTATCATCTAACAACCCAAGGATTGATCATTGTCATGCACATAAATCAATCTCAATGCCTAACAATTTCGTCTTGTCTATGTCTTCACTATTGTACTTTACTCCTTTTTATTTGTATCGATGATAAACCATGTATATGTTCATTCACTTTTCTTCTTATCGGTGATGAGAACATATATACGAAGTATCATACATACGTGCGACGAGAGAAAGAGAGAGAGAGAGAGCGAATGCACTTAATAGCAGAAAGTGAGAAGGTCTAATCAATAGGGTTTGGAGTAAACGATGAAGGTGCTGAATGACCTTCCCTTGTACGGATTCCATTTATAGGCAGGCGCAGAAACGAGAAGATGATTGGCATCTCTCACACATACGGTATGTCATGAGGATTACGCAAGTGATATGTCGTCGGTGCACAAGTGTTGATCAAGAAATATACATATATACAGAAGATGTGCTGTTCTTGACAAACGAACATATGTGCATAGGGTTTTTTACAATCCAATCTGATCTGTTACAAGGTTAACTTAATAATAACTTTCATCAAAACTTATCTGCCTTACACAGTAGTCTCTTTTCTTATTTACTGTTCAATAATTTATTACATATTCATTCTTACTTATAAAACTTCTGTGAATATATATGTATATTCTTTTTCTTTTTAACAATTTAGATTTAACACGTAATCATAGTCCACTGTAATTATTTTATATATTCTTTAAGCGATTTATTTTTTTTACTTCATAGAACTATAATTTATCAAGAGGAGGTTTTAATCAATACTATTCAGGCATCAGTTGTTATCTAACATCTCATTTTATGGATCAATAAGGTCATTTATAGAAAAGAAAATGTAGATGTTGTACGCCGCAGTATTCAACTAGAATCAGATATGTGTCTGTTCTTTTCAATTATCAGAATCTTTATCAAACATTTTACTATTTTCTAAATCAACATAGTGGAACTTACAAATACAACAACTTGATTTATTTTATCACCCAATTTTTATTCTATAAATTGTTCAATTATTTACCCCGTATAATTAAGATATTGATTTAATATCGATCGACTCTTTAATCGATGATAAAAATTCTAACAAAAGAAATCGTGATAGTCCTTGAACAGAAAAAAAGAATATAAATATCTTGATATCTCTTGTTTGAAGAGTGTAAAATAACTGATCGAATATCTGGCTCAAGTGAATCATCAAACAATTTATATGATGTTTCAAGTAACTGAAACAATATGATCCGATAAATATTACTCTTAATAAGATAGAAAAAAAAATAATAACACTAAAAAGAATTCTCTATAACACGAAGGATAAAATAGGAGTATTTATTGAGAGTAAAACAATAATTTTATGATTGCCTTTTTTTTTTGTCTTTCAATTTTTATACCACATTCATATTCATCAAGTCCTTCGTATATTAGTATATGAACAAGATGATTTGAACACTCCGATAAGATGTCATCTTTAATCATACGCATGAATAGTCCTCTTACAAATTGAACAATTTAACAAGTCGATTGGATAAAGCAATGCTAATTTTGTATCATTAATTTTTTTTTTCAGTGTCTTATGTGTTACAGTCTTCTGTCTAATTAGAATATGAATCAAGTTGAACAATTGTACAATAAAAGAATACGTAATTAATTACTGCTTGAAATTGTAACATGAATATTTTCGTTATCTGAACGTCCATCATAACGAACAGTACATTCTATGAAATATTGTGTTCATTTTATAACGAAACATGAGAAAAGATGAAAGCGATGTTCTTGACATTTTAAATATAGTACAGTTGAGATTCACACTTTTCTATATTCGTTTCAATCCTTTGTAATGACATCATATACTGTGTTTGATAATGACGACAATACACAATCGTAAACAGAAAAGAAACAAATTTCTTTGATTTTATTCTGAAATAAATTATATAATTTGAAAGAGAAACACGATAAATTAATAAATTTCAAATACTTGATTATTTATTGAAATAGACATCTCCAACTAGAAATGAAGTCAAATATAAATCTACACAAAAATCGTTCGTGAAAGTAACGCCTACAGTTTTTACATCATCGAGTTGCTTGTTCTAGTTCACTTGTTATCAATCAAATGATTTCGAACATTTTTAGAAATATTATCTTAATTTATGCTTCAATGGAAGTCCTTTGCTAAGAGCACATAGAGCTTGAGGAACATATATATATTTCAATGTCATTCGTCTGATTCTTTCTCACATAACTTCCAACTTTTTTTATGTCAAATATAAAAGCAGTATATTGTTCGTTAGCTGTTATGATATACCATCCTTGATGATTAATACGCATATAATATTTTAGACAACCGTGAAATAAGAAACCTGTTTTATTATTGAACATTATAAGTAATAATCTAAGTAAATAAATAAGTTTGTCGATGGAAGTTGATGCATTGCAAACGTTTTTTTTTTTGTCGATAAAGAAATAAAGAATATGTCAAAGTCATTTTTGTTTGACAATCATTGAAGTACTTTGTTGTCAACAAAAGAGATTGTACCAAATGATTAATAACGATACACATAAAAGCATTTTTTTTTTTTTTTATAACGCATGAAGTTCGAACATTCAGTTATAACAGATAAAATTCGATATCTGTTAATTGCTGACAAAATACTCTGCATGTCAAATCACTAATAATTATCAGACACAAGGCAATAGTCTTTTTCAAGTTGTTAAAGTTTCAATGATCTTGAAAGATCTTTTTCTTGCCAAAAACTCAGAAATAAGTCATATGACATACAATCTATCTTGTTCAGTATTATATTTCATCTGATATCATCTTAACTATCAAGACTTCTCAACAGTTGCTTGAAAATATTACTCGTAATTAATCATTGACATAATAATATGCACAGACACATATGCATTGCCATTTCAATTCAGCGTTACACATTATTGGCATCAAGCTGTGACAGTAATAGCGAAAACAAATTTGTTTTATCCTTCATATAACTATATTTCTATGACTAAGGTCATTCTATAAGAAGAAAACATCAAATTTTATGGAACTAAATATAATTTTGCATTTTCATTGAATATAATACGAATGCGCTAGACGATCTTAAAAAATCGATTGACATCTACGCACATCATGAATATTCTATTCAATCATTCATTCAAAGTTTACTAATTGAATAAATCAACATTCTTTTTTTTTACTAAAAGACTTTAAATATTTCAATGAAATTGACATCAAATTGAATTAGACACAGAATTTACAATTTTTTTTTTATCATTACAATACTCATAAATATATCAATGTATACTGTATCTATATGTAAACTTGAAATGAATGACGGCATTGAGATCGATCGTAGCTTCTAAAATGCGAGCAAAAGTAATGTCGATTTGAGGTTAAATGGTTGCAATTTGGAACGCTGAAAATTATGATGATCTCATTTTGATTGCGTTTTTAAATAGAATCATTGTTTATATCGATTGAAACATGAAAATCAGAACAATTCAATAATTTATATCTGTAGTTTCAACTCTAGTTTACATGTTATCGTACTTTAAATCATTAATATAATTATCAAATGAAGTAATATAAATTATAATCATGATCCCAAATTATGAGAAAATGTTCAAACTTTATTATCCGGATTGAAATTCCTCATATTCACTAATATAGACTAACCTCTAGCTTGAATTTATAAAGATATAAAATCAATGGTGAGTATTTTTTTTCATTTCTTTTGCACAGCAGATAGAAGATAATGTTTCTTATGTTGTGCATGGTGAAAATAGTACAACTACTTGAATCTCAGTTTACGAAATCTAGAAATCAACTTTATATTCTATTTGTAAAATAATATAACCTTGAGCATTGATATCATTGTCATCGATTGTAATTCCTGAAGATATGTATTATAAATCATATGAAACAAGAACTGTTTTTTGTAATTCATCCAGAACACATTAAGCTATTTTATTTACATTAGAACAACACTGAAAGGTATTACTTCAGCGTATATCTTCATTAGAATGCCGACGGTATGTTCTGTAAATCATTAGCATTATTCATTCAAACATATTGTATACGTCTATGAGATGAATTTACCATGAAACAACATTAATCGACATTTTTACTGTGTTTTCTTTCCAGATGCTTATTTTGTTTTTCTTGCCTATCAGTTGAGACTCTTTTTTACATACACTTAAACGTAAGACTTTGGTTTGAACAGTAGATCTTGAATTTCTGGAAAAATTCACGTAGTATGAATATTGGCTCATGAGACAAGATTATTATGGTCTTGAATTACTTATTCAACTCTTGTGATTTCGATCTAGTCTTTGCTAAATGTCCACTATATTACTTTTGTTTGTTATTGGTTTTTTTTTTCATTTCAAGATTTTGACAAAATACACAAATAAAAAAAATACTATAGCAAAAGTGCATCTAATTTCATATACTATTTTAGATGAAATACATAAAAATTAAATAATGAACATATACCATTATAACTAACAAAAGCATTTACATAGGCATGCTATAAATCTAACTTGCTTATCTGAAGCAAAAGAAAGATGAAAAAAATAATACAAGTAATCTATTTACATTAAAAAATTCCCATCGATTATTATTATTCATCTTCTTGGTATTTAGCATCTGTAGTTGGTATCGATTGATCTGTCATCGACGTTCTCTATTTTGATAATGTCGGCTCTGCTAACATTTTATAATCTATTACGAATTCTACTTAATAATAGATTAACAAATACACTTTCTCTATCCAATATATGCAATTACATGACACTAATATATAATACATAGAGTATCTTAGTTCAGGATTCAAGTATTTACTTAATGAATTCGTTCCGAAGTCTATTTCAGCTCAGTTTGTTCTGGCTTCAAGTAGAACACGATGAGTTCTATTGATTACATATCACACTCGTAAGATTTCAGCGAACCGTTGATAAAAAAAAAAGAAGCTAATTAGTTTGTTTGTTCATATACATAGGTGGCTTCACTCTTGTAAAAATTGACACGACTTGTCTATGGGTCAATTGATGGTACTTTCTATTTTAACAAGTGAAATATGCAATTAATAGAATTCGGTAAGTCCTATTCTCGGAAATATTGTTGGTATTGTTTCAATCCACTTATGAAGAAACCGTAAAGGATTTAGCACAAATCGAGATAATATCTCATTTTTTTTGTTAATTTGCATTTTTTGCTCTAGGATGGATGAGTTACTTTTCGAAAAGTAACCTCTGTAATTGATAGAGTTTATCATATTCTATTTGAAACCAGTGGAACCTGAGTTCAGATCGCCTTGAAATCAAATCCATTCAGGAAATACTCGAATCCTGACACCAGATATCCTGCATTCTTAATTAGCGTTTTTCACTATAAAAAAAAAAAAAAAAACATTTTCGCAAATTATATTTCTTTTAAATCTTATATCTCATTATAGACATAACAACATTAGTTGAAATATGAATTCGAATATAATAAATTTTAGAATTATTACTAACAGAGATTTTTTGAATTTTAACTTTAACAAAAGAGATGTCGCAATTCACTGATTTATTGATCAATTTAAGTTTGTCCATTGGTTATCCTTTTTCTTGAAATAAATATATATCGGTGAAGTCTTTGTATTTTCTTTTGCTCCTTCATCAAATAATATTACTACAAGACACGAAAGAAAATTATGGATATTGATTTAGTTAATGATCTTCGACGTGATGATGACGATGAAAGTGATGAAAATAATGAAAAACTTAAAGGAGATGATAGCGAAAGTGAAGAATCAAAAAAGACTGATGTTGAAACTGTTATGAAAAAAGCAAATGAAGTGGTAAAAAAAAAAGTTGCACGACGTCCTCGACCAAAACTAGACGTTGATCGGTAAATTGATCTTTTATTTTTTATATTGAAAAAAACTATTGTTTTTTTCATTACACAAACTAGATTAACTGGTCCAAGAGGTCTTAATGAACTATGTAATCTATTTAAAGATGAAAAATTTAAAGGCAAAGGTTATGAAGTAAGTTTATGATTGACAACAATTTCTCTTTATTCTGATTATTAAAATCTATGTAGTCTGTTGATCTTGATTCATTAATGCATAAATTTGAATATTGGGCACATCGTCTTGTACCACATATGGCTTTTGATGATTTTATTGAAAAAGCTGAAAATCTCGGTGGTAAAAAACCGATTAAAGTATGTGAATCAATCATATTCATATTTCTTTTAATACATTTCGTTTTTTCTTTGTCTAAAGAATGCACTTCAACATTTACGTGATAATTTAAATATTCAAACATTCGCAGACGATGATAAACAAGTTGGTCCTACATTAGTAATTGAAATTTGATTAAAAAACACGACAATAATATTTCATTATTTTCTATTCTTTTTTTTTTTTTTTAGCTCGATTTATTACCAAGTATCGATCCTGAAAATGATAACAATACTAATAATAATGACATTCCAGATAATGATGAATTAAATGAATTATTTCAATAAACTCCAAATCTTTTTTTTTTTTTTTATTTGTTCTTGTTATTATTGCTGTACATTGGGAAAAAAAAACTTTTTTTGTAGCTCAACGAAACAAAGAAAGAAAACGAAATAGAAATACAAGCAGAAAAACGAAACGGCAGCGGTTATTTTTTCATTGACCCTACCTGAGAATTGGAAACGTACAAAACAACGGTTAATAGAAATACAGGTGAAAATCAGATAAACTAAAAAGATTTCATTCATAAGCTAAAAATATGTATAATTGAAGACACAATAAACTCAAATAGTAAATATATACATAAAAAGAAAAAAAAACGAAAGAAATAAAAAACGAGAGCGTTTTACGTCATATTAACGATGTCATAAAGCTATTCGCGCAAATAATTCACAACAGCAAAACACACTAAAAACGAATAGATTAAACATTGAATAAAACTTTGCAAACATCAAACAGAAAAAAAAAAAAAACAATCGAATAACAACACATACAGACAAATACGAATTTTCCTGAGTTTAATTTTCTCTTAATTTTCTCATTTTGTTGTTTTTTTTTCTTAACAAAGAAAAAGATCATAGATATTTGCTTGACAGAAGGAAAACAGAGTTTAGCGCCGTGCGCATCTGACCATACACACACTATTTTTCATACATATATATATTTATAAAAAAAAAAGAAGAAGAAATAAACGAATAAGTCGATAGAAATTCTTTTTTTCATACATAACAACACTCTTATATTAAATATCAGTTACACAAACAGATTATTGTACGAATAGAATTTTCTTTTATGTACACGAATTGACAATGCTCATCATATAATTATAATTCGAGCTTTTGAATTGTGATGCTTTTTTTGTTTGTTTATGTTAATTTTCCATGCGAAATGTATCATCACACAAATGAGGATCAATGGAAAGGTCGTGCGCGTTGAGCAACTAAAGTAAAATAATTTAAATAAAAAAGTCAAATGAATTATCTTTGTGTACAAAATCATCTGCATTTAATTGTAAATCACTTGGATCAATTAAACTATCGAAAGCATGTGTAAAATCATTTGCTAATTCTTTCGATAAATCCAATTTTGAACTATCAACATCTATCAATGAAAAAACAATAAAAATCTATGAATATCTATATATTTTATAAAGATAGTATCTTACCAGTTAATATTATATTCGGAATTGTTGGACTTTTTTGTGTAACATTAGTTGTTATAGTTACAGCTGTTTGAGTTTGACAATAATTTGATGGTCTAAAAAAAAAGTATTTTATAATTAATATCGATTCTGAAGAAAACCAAAACAAAATTCATTATAATTGAAAACTTCTTTTTATTTTATTTTTCTAAATAAATCAATACTTACGTATCATTGATAAAAGTTGGATAAAAATTTTGTGGTCGAAAATAATTTAAATGTGTTCCATTCATATCATTTGATAATGATGTTGGTGATGATGGATGATTAGGATTTTGTTTTGATGATGATGATGATGATGTTGGTGATGATTGTTGTTGCGTATAAAAATTATTATCCTAAATGAAAAATTAAATAAATTTATTTTGTTTGTTTTTTTTTAAAGCATTTACCAATGTAATTTGATCAAAATGTGTAGGTAATGTAAAATATGGTTGTTGTTGATTATTTGTATTATTATCTGTTGATTGTTGAGGTGAAAATGGACTATGATCATTACCTGGACTTGGTAATAAATGAGGAGAATTTTGAGGAGAATAACTTGATTGAGATTGAGGACTTGATGGTTCAACACGATAAACAGTTTGTTGATTCTAAATGATTAAAAATAAAAACAAAAAATTGATCAATTTTAAGAATAATATTAAATAAAGAAAAGTAATAATTTACTGAAGAAACATCAGGTGAAGGAGAATTTTGTCGACGTGGTGATGATTGTTTAACTTCACCAATTGGACTATGACGTCGACGAATACTTGGACTTTGTTTTAATGGACCAATATTTGATGGTAATTGTTGTTGAGGACCCTAATATAACAAACAATGAAATATATATATATACATATAGTTTTGTCTTTTGTTCGATTATATTACCAAAGCATATAAATCATCATCACCATTTTTTTGTAATGAAGATGAACGAAAGAAATGTTGTGTTGTAGATGTTGGTGGTGATGGTGTTGTTGAAAATGATATTTGTTGATGATGAAATGCATTTTCTGTACGTAAATCTGGTAAAGAACCACCACGTGGATGATGATTTGGTGGTAACATAAGAACATTTGAACCACCACTATAACGTGGTCCTAAAAGTGTATGAGTATTATTTGATGGTGATGATACAATAGGTTGTGTTGGTAATGATGTTGTTGGCCCTATTGGTGTTGCTATTTGAGATAATGAATATACAATATTAGCTCCACCATTCATATAATTATGATTTAAATTATGATTTAAATCAAATTGATGATGTTGTTGAAAAGGCGAACTCGAAACTTGTAAATGATGAGGATGATGATGAGGAGAATAAGATATTGAATCATATTTAATATCATTTAAATCATAATTTGGTGCTTGACCTATAGGAAAAACGAAATTTTTTTATAAATAAAGGTAATTATTGTTATACTAATATCTACCATTATTATCATTATCAATGCGTGCATGATAATGTGCAACAACACTTGGCATCATTGTATGGTGAAGTGATGAATCCGAATGAGTTCTAGAAAGAAAAATAAATATATAATTTACAATGAATGCATTTTAATACCGTCGCCATGAGGAATTGTCAGGTAATTGTAAAAGTCGATCAGATTCATTGCTATTGTCAATCTAAATATTAAAAAAAGAAAAGAATTGAATTATAATTCATAGTTATATAAATCGTAATAATATACTTTTATTGGCTGAGGTTCATAATTATTTGTATTATTATTATCTGAATTATCCATTCCATTAGATCCCTGATAATTCTAAAATAAATTAAATCATAATCTAATCAATCTTTAAAATAAATCCATTTACTTCATAAGGTTTTTCATATTTCCGTGTTGGTACATCTAATTTACTTTTTGCTGATGAAATACGATCAGCTCTCTATGATATATGAATATACAAACACTTATTTTTCAATTTATTATTTTCACATACTTGTTTTGCAGCTTCAACTTCATAAATAATTGTATTAAAAGCTGCATCACCTTCTGCTTGTTTCTGTTGTATTAATGCAATTTTTTCTGCAAATTTCCGTGGACTACTCATTTTGATTCTTATAATTCAATCACAAATGTTGAGTATACGAAAGAAAAGGAAAAATAAGTATAAATATGTTCGAAATTGACACAAGATAATATTGATCAAAACTAATAGAAACAAAAATCTCTATAAGAATTTCAAGACAACAACAAAAAGAAAATATTTACATTACCGTTTAAAGTTACTTGTCAACGTGGTCGATCGTAATCGAAAATATTATTCACTGAAGTCAAATATTGAAAAAACGACATTGCAGTTTTCTAATCCGAAAGAGCAAAAAAAAAACAATATTTGAATAACAAGGAAAACTAATAACGATAAAAAAAAAAGAAGAAGAAGAAAATTATTCTCATTAGAACAGATAAAAGGACTTATGGAATGTTCTAACAAAAAACTGTATTTGTATTTTATTCAAAATGAAAATAATAAAAATTCATAATCAATAATCATAGATAGAGATAAGAAAAAACAACATTTCATATTTAATCATCTTTTCCATTTGTTGATGAGTTTTGCTTGTTGTTATTTAAGGTGTGTATATGTGTGTTTTTTTTTTGGGAAATATCAACCAATTAGAATTCGACAAAATAAATCATTAATATTAATTGAATTCCATGAAAAAAATAAATTAAAAATAAAAATTTTTTCATCTTTTTATACATATTTTTAAGTCATTATGAAATGTTAGTTTTTTTTCTATTGATAATCTATTAGTGATTATTTTAACCAATAAAAATTCTAGATAATAGTGATTAAATTTTCCTTTTTTTTTTTTTGTTGTTGTCTCTCTCACGAGAATGATTTATATTCTCGAATGATTTGAATTCAATCTTTAAGAATTCTATAAAGACTTTTACGCAAGAGATTTGAATTCTTTTTTTTTTGTTTTCAGGTAAAAATAAAAATTATGATGAAACATCGTTTTGAAGTGACATCAGTTGATGAACTTAATCGTGATAATACATCATTTCAACCATCGGAAATAATTCCATTAATCAATAGTAAAAATGAAATTCCATCATCATCATCTCTATTAATTCCTTCATTTACAACAATTAATGAAACTATTAAACCGTCAACACGATCATATAATAGTTTTTTACAACAATTAAAACAAAGTTCATCAACAACAGATCTTCGTCAAGATGTTAATTCATCATTTTTACCGACTATGCATACAAATAATAATAGAAATGTAAATGTTAATGGTAAAATTCAAGAAATTGATTCAGCTTATTCTACAACACAATCTAATAATTATGATACGCCTTCTCTTAATTTAACAAATAAATTTCTTTATGAATTACGTATAAAACGTCGTGAATTACGTGAAAAAACAAGCCATTTTTCAATTGAACAACGTATTGCTTTAAATCGTCATGAACATAATCAAAATCGTAAACGTGCACAAGATATATTTGATATAAATTTTGAATTAAATGATAATGATAATTTACAAGATAATTTATTCAATGAAGATTTACAAGAAAAAATTCGAAATAATATTTTTAATGAATTAGATCGTCAACGAATGAAACAAATTCATAAACAACATCGTCAATTAATATTGGGTCGAGTAATGGTAATGATTTATACATCATTATTAGTATTCATGAGTATAACATTAATTTACGTTGTTATTGATTTATATAATCGAGCACAATATTTTAATACAAAATTGCCAGATAATCAGTTTTTATCAATGATTTATGATAAAACACCGTATAATTGATATAAGAAAAAAAAAAAAAGTGAAAAATATCATTCCATAGTTAAATCTGATGAATTAATTAGTATTTTATTATTATTATTATTATTATCATTATTTCTGGTCTATGATTAATCTCGTCTATTTTAAATACTTAGAATGTAACGAATATAAGGACGATAGTACTATAATACCTTATCAAAAGGTCATAAAAATTTTCTCTCCATATATAAACTGATAACGCAAAACAGTACTGTATAATTCTACAATATTTTACCATTCTTCAGTTTATATATTAATATTAAAATTTCATTGCAAGTTGTTTACCTGTTTTAAATGTGTAAGAAAAACTTTCGCTTTTGACTGTAGATGAGAATGAATAGAAAGTATTTATCTTCATCAACATCCACATCCTCACTGTTAAAACAGCGATGAAGAACTTGCATTGAAATTTTAAGATTATTATTTGAATCAAAGAATAGTGAAATATTGTAGAATTATTGAGTACTGTTTTGCGATATCAGTATGCAACCAGAGAAAATTGTTATGAACTTTTTATTAAGTAGTATTTCACTGGCGCTTTTTTACTTTTGGTATATCCTGAGTATGTCACGCATGCTTGATGCTCAATTGCAATGAATACTTTTTATATATTTTTTTACTTTGCCTGCTTGATATAATCTTTTTTTTTTATGTGAATTTATATGCATGAACGAATACAATTTGATAAATTTTTTTTTAGTTTACCGATAAAGCTTCCAATTGTTATTTAAATAAAATTAGAGTATTTTATTTTATAATTATTTTTGATTAATTTAAATATTAAGTAGATTTTTATTTAATATTTTCTTGTTTTTTCAAGATGTCGAAGCCAGGTTTAACCACTCCACCAAGTGCTCGAGCAACAAGTCCTCTCAATACAAGTACGGGTGGTAATGGCAATCAATTAGCTTCACTTAGTAATACTCCACCACCATCTGGTGAAGATATGCAACCACCACAACAGCGAATGATGCATCAACAATCATTACCACCTATGCATTTTGGTGGTCCACGAGGTCCTCCACCACCACCACATATGATGCATCCTGGTGGTCTTCCTCCACCACAACCAGGTCAATTTGTTGATGATTTTTATGGACCAGGACCACCACAGATGATGCATCCACATGCACACATGATGCATGGTCCACCACCTACTCATCATCATCCACATATGGGTAATTTACTTGGTCCTGGACCACCCCCTCATGCACGTGGTATGATGCTTATGCATGGACCACCACCACCACCACAAATGATGCCACGCACATATCCACCACATACACATCATATTAATAATCCACAAAATCCAAATTCATCATCAATTGCTATATGTGGATCATGTCATAAAGAAGCGCAAGATACAGACGGAACGGTGCTTTGTGAATCAGGTTGTAATTTTTTTTATCATCGAACATGTGTTGGATTATCAGAACACGCATTAAAAATGCTCCATCATGAAAATTATGCAGAATGGGTATGCGATAAATGTTTTGCAGAAAAACATGTACCACCAGTTAAACTCAAATCTTGAATTTCTCTTACTTTTACTTTCTTCTTTTATGTAAATATCTTGTTGTCTCATGTAGAATAATAAATGTCAACTCAATTTACATCATATCTCATACTATTCATTGATCACAGATGTTAATACATATTATAAATAGAATTTAATGAATTTTATCAGTCATTGAAAACATTCTTATACAAAATGAATTTGTTTATATCTATTAAATATGCGTGTCACTAGAATTCGTTTTATATTAAGATTGTTGCTATCATGATAAGAATTGAGAAAACTAATATTCAAATAAAATCAGTACTTTTTATGTTATGAAAATGTTTCTATTCTAAAAACGAATTATAAAAATATATATTCTAATTTCATTTATCATGAATTTCATGTATAAGTATATTAAATGCAATTGTTAATGTGATTTTGTCAAATATGTTTTTTAGAATTGAATGACATATATTTATTCATAATGATAATCTCATCTTGTATGTACACATGTTAAGAAATATTTAATCATAATTGAAGTATTTCAATATATTTGTTTTAATGGATATAAGATTAAGATTATATAGATTTAAATTTTATCATTGTCTAACTATTTTCTTCTTAGGTTCTAACGTAAAAATCTTTCTAAATGTGTATCAATAGTTAATAATTCACTTGAGAAAGTTTCTAATAAAAGAATATAACAATTAATATAAACGGAATCATTGTAAGCTTTATTTGTAATTTAATCATTTCGTTTAATACAACATATAGTAACATAATGCATATATATATGTATACAAAAAAAAAGAAGATAATCTGTCGCATATGTCATATTCGATAGTTAGTTTGATCAATGTTAACAACTTCTAAAACATATCGATTCACTATTTCAGTTGAATATCTAATACAAGTCAAATTATTTTCTAATTGTCGTCGAAAATAATTTATACATTCAGGTGAAATAAGCTTGATGCATGGATCATGAGTCATCATAGTAAAAAAGTCCGGAGCATGTTTAAATGCAAGTACATATAATGATTCAATACCTGATGACAGAAAACGTATTCCTAATGATTCAAAACTGACTCTCATCATAGATGCACAAACTAAATATTTATATTGATCAGATGCTAAATAAAATGCAACAGCTGCTGTACCCCAAACATGTGCCATTTTATGTACAGGTGAAAATTGTTTTGATTGATTACCATTTTCTTCAAAAAGGCGGCCAATTTCATCTAACATTTTAAATACATCAATATTGAAAGTTTTTTGAAAAATTTTTGGTCCATAACCATAAAGAAAAAGATTAAGTGCAACATATAGACTATTTGCATGTTGAAGGCTACTAGTTGTAAGATAGTTTGCATATGAAATTAACCATTTAGCACAAGGTATAGCTATACTTGGATTGAGAACAAATTGAAGAACAATTTGTCGCCATATATAACGACAATATTCAGCACTTGGATTATTCATATTTAATTGTGTAAGAAAATTCTCACATGTTGAATCTAGAAAAATAATTTGATTAATTAATTTTCATAATAATGAAAACATACTAAAGATTCGATTTTTTCGATTTTTAATAATATTACATTGAAATTCTGATTGAAATTCTAATTTCATTCCAATCTCTTCTAATTTTTTTCGTTTTCGCTCTCTTTCTATTGTATCAAAGTAGTTCATCATTGTTGTTCTATTATCCAATTTTTGTGCTACTATTTCAGCTTGATTATATTGACAATAAGCTTGATCAATATCACCTATGGTTTGATAAACTTCAGCACAAATAAGTTGTAAATTAAATAATCTATGATAATCAATATGATCTGTATGAATAACAAACATTCGATTAAGTGATTGACATATATCAGCAGGTGGACGTTTATTTGTATGCATATACATCCACATTTGAAGATCACCATAGTTATGAAGTGTTGTATCGTTTGGATATTTAGCAGCAGCGATTGTTACACGTGATAGAATATTGAGTGGATTTGAATTCTCAACAGTACTACAAAACAAAATGCATATATTCATTCACTTTAAAGTAATTTTATGTTAAAATAAAATACTACTCTTCAGTTGTTTGTTGTTGGATAGTATTAGAAGCAGTATTTGGTGTATATGTTGTTAAATCTTGCTCTAAAATAGAGTTAAATGGATGAGAAATAAAAATTTGGTCTTGTGCCAAGACTGAATCAATGACATTGTTGCCATTCAATGAGTCATCATTGGTTTCTTTAGACAAATAGAAAGGTAAAAAAAAAAACAATCTTACATTAATGTTTTTTTTGTAGTATTCTCTTACCTATAGTATCAACATGATTGACAGTATTAATATTTGACATAGCCATCTGTTGCAAAAATAAAAATTAGGTTTTTAGAATTCATACGTTTCTACAATCATTATGTATTACGAGGCATATATCAAGATTGAAAATTAGGTTTTCCAACTTTTTTTTAAAGGAGTTTTTTTTATTGCGAAAACAAATAACTCACAAAATTTACAAAAAACTTTATGTTGTATAGTAAAAAGTTGCTCTTCAAGAAGAAAATATCAACAGGGTTTGTTCGACGGTAACTAAGAGTCTCCTATTTAGAGCTTTTCATAAAATTTCCATAAAAATTGAAATCTATGTTGGAAAAAATTCTATCACAATATCATTTTGTAGAAAATTGTTATTTCTACCGACATGCATGTTAAGCAAAATTGTACGTTAATATTTCGAATGAGAGTATTTTCGAGCAATAAATTAGAAAACACTAAGAAATTCTCAATATATGACTATGTTTCATTGCGTCATAATAATGAGAATACAATGTAATCCTATTTCTATTTCCCGAAACAAATGTTTATTAAACACAGCAATTTATCAAACGGTTATTTTGACCTTTTTTGCACCTTTAGAATGAAAAACTGACAACAAAAAAAAAATCACTGAAAATTTAAGTTAGCANATGCACGAGATAATACAGTAGTGAGGAACAGTTTCAACAACAATAACAACTTCTACTAATCAATCAATTCTATCACCATACGAAAAATTACCTGAAAATATTCTTTCTGAAAATGATGAAGAAGATTCATTTGTACTAAACTATATAAATCCTTCACTAAATTCTCAAAATCTTGTTCAAGAAATAAATTCATTATCAGAAAAATTAACAAATAGCTCAAGTAGACAAATTCGTCCAGGTGATCGTGTTAAAACTAAGAATAAAAAAAAAATTACTGATCATCAAAAAATATCATCTTCACATGAATCAAATTCATATCGTCGATCAATTGAAACAATTCAAGAATATCGAAATAAAACTAAACCAATACAATTAATTAGTAATAGACAAATTTCACAAACAAAATTTGATCAACAACAAACAAATATTCTTAAAAATAGACTTCGTTAGTTAAAAATTTATTTATCGAAAAGCAAAATGAGAAAAACATGACGATCGTTATACCTAGGCATGGACTAATTCCTAAAACATAATGTCAGAGATGACATTTTTTTTTTTTCTTTATAAAGAATGTAGGTCCTGTTGATTATTTATGTAAAAGCATAATCAGTCGTTTTTTGTTCTATCCGAAGTTGCAGTCAAGATTCATGAAATACTAGAGAAAAGTTTCAGAATTGGTCGAAAACTCACATCTTGTAGTTTTTTTTCACCAGTTCCAACTGATGTTGAGACCTGTGCTTTGTATTAAATAAAACCTAAGAATAGCATAGCTCCAGAAAGAACGCATTCAAAACTGATCACAATCTGTGTGAAGATTCACTAGAAGTCTAGTAATGCTAAATACTGGACATGTGTTTTTTTAAACAGAGATAAACGAATTCCTACCAATTCCTGAAATTTCTAATCGGGGTTAAGAATTTTTTCAGTATTCAGAATTATTTGACTCGTATGGATTCCAGTTGTAATCAATTTTGAACGTTCTTTCCGAAGCTATTCTTCGATTTTGTCTAATGTAAAGCACAGGTCTCAAAATAAGTTGAAATTGGTAGAAAAATAAACTAGAAAATGCAGATTTTTCACCAATTCCGAAAACCGTTGTTTAGTATCTTATGAATTTATACTACAGCTTCAAAAAGAACAAAAAACAAAAACAATCATGGTTTATAAAAAATAGTCCACAGTAATCACATTATTAATAAGGAAAAAATGTCATCTTTGACATCATGTTATAGAAATTGATGTATCCCTAAGTATACCCCAGGAACAGTGTGTAACCTACATCATACCGAACGGTCTACCGACGATTTTTTTTGTCCGACTTAAATGACATGAGTATTGTATCTTAGATAATGAAAATCAAAAGATTAATCATTATTTATCGAAAGATAATAATATGAATTCACGTGAAAATTTATTACCAAATAAAAGTTCATCACGTTCTTCAAAACAACAACCAACAACAAAGAAAAAGAAGATACCTAATCGTTTATCAGAATCAAAATTATCATCAAATACTCAACAATATTTAAATCAATTACAAACAAAGATGATGGATTTCAAAATTCGATCAAATTCAAATATATTTGATAAAAATCAAAGCAAAAAAAAAGAAAATAGAAACCTAAGTGTACAACAATTATCAATCAATAAAAAATTGAATAACAATCGTTATAATTATGAAAAGTAAATCTAAAAACACAAGATTTCATTCATGAATAACATGGTTTTGCAAATTAAAATCCATATTTCTCTCAAGAATGAACTTTCCTAGTTCTAATTGTTATACATCATACGCATGTTAAATGACTCTAAGTATCTTGATAAAATCAACGTTAGCGACATGACCCAAAAAAAAGACACCGATCATCACTAACTACGTACATTTCAACCAAAAAGAAACCATGAATTGAGGCAGCATTTTTGAAAACTACTTTTAGAAAAAATTGATTTTACCCATCGCTAGCGAGCTGAAATAAGTACAAATATAGAAATAGAAAATTCTCTTCTAACTGCATTACAAATCGAAAAACTATTTCTAAATAGTACACGATAATAATAAATAAAAATTTTCATTCGGAACTAGGAGAAAATTTTTGAGAATGAGTTTTTTTGGAGTTCGATCTTGTTGAAAATACCATCATATATGTAGTTTTGTGGTGTAGGGTTCATCCTACAATTGTTGGACTTCTCCGTCACTAAACTCCACTTTGGTCGAAAGTAAAAACTGTTGAAGAAAACTTCATAAAAATAAAAAGTTAATCTGAGAGAAAGATTGTTTTGTTACATGTTGAATAAACGTCTTATTATTGAACGATCAATATCGGCTTATAAGGTAGAATGTGTACCTGAAGATAAGACACATCCACATCGTATTTATTGAAATAAATTAATTATATGGATTTTGATCAATTTTATGAAAGCAACATTATAATGATTGCAGCAAAAAGACCATTTATTTAAGGTCGATAAACTAATGTTTCGAAGTATTCTTTCATTTATTCTTGCTCAATAATAAACATTTGATTTGAATTTTAGTTGCTTAGTTTTTTTCAATATTCTGAACTCGAAAATATTCAGAAGTTTCTACTTCAGTTTTAGACAATTTTACTTTTGGCTAAAATTAAGACAATATTTTTCATCATAAGGTTAAAGAGTTATTCGCTAGTTAATTCTGAATTAGGTATGAACTGAAAGAGTCAACTTATATACATATATTCTTGATTAATAGACTTTAGAAAAAAAAGAATTAAAATCAAATGAAAGATATTCATGACCAGTTTTGACTCATTGTGCTCATATATTCTTCAAATAAATTTTTAATGATTTTTTTTTTCAGTTATCTTTCATTAATTACAAAACAATATAAAATCGACGATAGATCAAATAGAAGAAATGAACTTCATCGATCTTCATTTCCATCAAGTTCAAAACAGGCTTGGACAAAAGATCAAAGACAAACATCAAAGATAAAACAAAAGAATTCTATTGATAATTCAGGAGAAAAAGCAGTTCTTATTGAAAGTTCAATTCCATCAAATATATCCGAGCAAAGTAATTCGACTAAGACAAGCACAACTACCTTTAAACAATCAAAAACATCAATCATATCATCAAATACTTCCGATATTTTATTACAAAAAACAGAATCGAATAGTATTAACACAAATCCGATGATAAATCGATTACAAATTGATAATAGTAATCTGATTTCAACAAATAAACAAAAAATAGAAACAAAATCAATAAGATCTATACCTAAAAAAAAAGCTCATAAAAAAGTCACAACATCAAATTCACTATCAAATCATTCAATATCAATTTTATCAAAAAGTGTTCCATCTTATTCACGAATTCAAAATGATATTCCACAAAGACGAAGTCGAAGTGCTTCATCAAATCGAATCAATCAAGTTTTTAATACAAAATCATCATCTCATTCCAATCAAATTTTACATACACTAAATCCATCAATTACTAAATCACATTTCTCTCGATTGACATCAAATTCTACAAGAGATTCGACTCAAATTCAAAGTCTCTCAAATCAATTGAGTAAACTTTCAACATCATCGGATTTGTTTTCTACATCCATAAAAACATACAATAAAACAACAAAACAAAACTATTTCAAACCATTACAACTAACTATTGATTCAAATTTTAATGAATACAATTTACAAACAAATATTTATGATATTAACGAGTAAGATAATTTAATTTTCGCTTTATTATTTTCTCAGAAAAACGAGTAACTTTTTAGTACAACTATGATAACAACAAAATCTAATTCAGAAGAAAATTTAATTCGAAAACCAATTGATAATAATGAAATTAAACATTCGTTACAAATAAAATCATTGTTATCACCTGATAGAGCAAGAAAATCTTGTAAAAATCATCAAAAAAATATTTCAAGAATATCTGAAAATATACTTAATAAACAAAAATTTATTTCTCAACCATCAATAATCACTTCTACTATGAATAACTTAAACGAAGATATTATTTCAACTAGTAATAAATATCTTTCCAAAAAAAATAGGTTTCTTTTTTTTTCATTACATTCAAAATCATCTAAATAAATGTTTGATTATTTTCTTTATTAGTAATATTCAATATATTTCACATTCTTATTCAAATAAATCAAAATCCGATAATATTCCATTAGATATCGAGTTTAATACATTAAATAATATTAATAAAACCATACAAACACAGCAAGATATAATATCTACACAATATCATTCATCTACTAATGAATCGTTAATAGAAGATATTAAATCTCGATCAAATACTATTGAACCATCTTCAAAAGATAATTACATATTACCACAATATGTTTTTAAATCTTTACTAAATATATCTACAACTACTACTGATAATTCATTAATTTCAACAATAAAACAAAATCATACTTTACCTGATAAAATGTCTGATATTATTGAACATTCAACAATATGTGAAAAACAACAATCAATTATAACCAAGACTAATGCTAATTTACCTATTAAACTAATTACATTAGATCATATGAGTACAGTTTATGAAGAATCAGAACCATCTACAAACAGTATTCTTAATGAATTAACATCATCGATTAGTGAATACAGTATATATTTTGTTTTCTAATTGAAATTTTATCCTTAAAAGTCGAGAGAGATTTTCTTTTGATGATGAAAAAAAAAAACAGATCGCTAAAATAGTGATTCTAGACACTCATAAGTAAACTACCTCAACTAACATCCGTCGGTTGAACTCATATTCGATTTTATATAATACTAAGAATCAATTTAATACAATATTAACAATTTTTAACACTATTCTATGAGTCGAACTAAATGCCGTGAAATCAATAGTATGAAAAACAAAAAGATCAGCTCATCGGCGAATTGAAGGAAAATCAGTAACTTCGTCACAGGCGAAATGAAATTTTCGGATTATTGAAAATTTTTACTGGAAAAAGGGACGTGTAGTCATCCTTAGATGGGACTTGGTTTTTACTTTATGATTGATAAGATCATCTTAGTCTTGAAATATACTGTTCTTTGCATATGACGTTTTTATTAAATCTACAATAGGAATGATCACAATGTCCGTTAGAGAAAGAACATTCGATGTTTAATTCTTTTTTTTCTATTTGTATTTAGATTATAATCAAGAGACTATTCAAGATTGGTTAGAAACAAGTTCAAATATTTCTTCAAATCAAATAAATTTACCCTTAAATCATTCAAATATAATTAATAAATCTTCTCAACTATCAAATTATAATACAAATTCGATTGATATAAAAACAAAATTAACATCGATTAAATCAAAGACTTTAATTGATTATGAATTTCGAGTAAAACTTAGGAATAAATTAGAATTCAATGAAATAAATGAACCTATTTTTATTGAATTAATGAATACAAAAGGATGTTTAATTGAAATTCCACTTATTTATTCAATAAATAATTCTAAACGATTTCAAAAAGGACAACTTGATATATTTCATTTTCATATTCCAGAAAATTTTCATACGGTAAGTCAAAAAAAAGCAAAACTTTTCAACTACAAAATTAATCTTTTGTTTTTTTTATGACTTTATTTAGATTAAAAAAATCAATCTTTTTCTTTTTAAAACGAATAAATATCCATTGCATATTGAATATTGTGAACTTGAAAATTGTCAAACAATGAAAACATTTTATTTTCATTTTTGAAATATTATAAAATTTTATTTTCATGAATTTTCTTATTTTTATTTAGTTTAGGTGTCAAAAACATATATCCTGTTGAAATTTAATATCACCAATAATAACAATTTTCTATTATAATTTCAATCATAACAAACAAACAAACAAACAAAAAAAAAAGGCTTTTTTCTTCTCTTATTCTAATTCCGTACATTGTCGTTTTACTCGAACTAAATACAAATAAAATAATTTTTATTTTAAATAAAAAATTAATAATTACTTTGATCGTCCATATCAGATAACGAACGTTTTGGTAATGAGACCATTAATTGATGAATTTTTGATTGTTCAAGCCATTTCATTAATTGTCCAAACGACATTAAACGTAAACCCATCTAGAAAAATAGAACATTAAAAATTTTAAAAAAGCCAACATATTTCTTTAATAAATGCGATTATAGAGTTTCTGTTTTAAGAAAACATTTTCTCGAAGATATATAAAAATGTATAGCATATGATATCTTCTTTAGATTGTCTGAAAATTCAATTAAGTTTTCTTATAGGAAATAATGAGATATTGTTGGTTAAAAATATATAGATATAATTATTTACGATATTTTCATTAGTTCTTATGTCTTCGATATAACCTCAAGTCAGAAGTGTTCCGAGCTTGTCAGGATTAGGAGCAAAAAGTCGACCATTCAGAAGGCCAATTTCAAGAGTTTTGCTAAAGTTGATCGGATTTAGAAAGAGAGACCGAATGTTTGTTTTGGGGGATTTGTAACAAAAACATAATAATAAAAAAAATTGGAACTCCGCTGGAGAAAAACGAAAATTTTTCAAGATTGAAAGAATATCCTCGGGACTCTCTTCCTTTCGTTTGAGACAACTTTGCTTCAATTAGATATATTTCAAGATACATAATCATTATACAGCGACATATGCATACAAAATCTATTCTATATATCAGAAATACTGTTTAAAGTAACCAATTATATAATGAACACCGTTGATTTATGCAAGAAATCGAAAAATATCTAATTTCATATGTTTGTCTACAAGCTTTTTCTGTGCATACACTTGAAAATATTGCTCCTAACTTTCTTTTATGGCGATGATTACTTCGGAATAATGAGACTTTTTCTGCGCTCCTTCTCTAAGCCACATATTCCATTAAATAGAATTTTCTCAATCATTTCTAAACTTGAATTAAAATCCTAATCAAAAAGATACTTCTGAACATTCATAAAACTTGACACTATTCTTACACGCGTTCCATGTTATAACTCTCAGTTACCTATACAAAGCGAAATTAATCATTAGACTACACATTCTTTCACTCAAGAAGTTTACAATACAACTATAGAGTCTAACGATGTAGCAAAATCGAACTCACACGATATAGCATTAGAGGAAAGTATCGCACTAGTTTTTATACACTCTGAGACACGTACAAATCTAAAGGAAGTAACATATCTTTCTTCTTTTCGAAAAAACAGAAACTCTCTATTCGAGTCGAAATAGCACATCGATTCTATTTCTATTATTTACTTGAGCTTCCTGAGTTATATCATTTCTTTCTTGATATGTTAAATTCTCCAAAACATCTTTCATTGAATCTGTTTGCCAAGGCATACGTAAACTGGGACCATCTAAATATATCAACATAAATTATTATGATTGAAAGAGAAATAATCGAATTCAAACTAACTTGATAATACTAAACCACCGGAAATATATTCTAAAACACGTCGAAATGCATTCACAGCTGATAATGATTGTGATAAAGTATAGTCAATAAGAATTTCAATAGGCTATAATAATATTTCAAAAAATTTTAGTCAAGAAACAAAGAAAAATAATTAATTAATTATACTTCAGATGATAATGATTTCCAATTTGTTGAAACTTTTGTTTTATAACGTAAACAACGAACTAATGCTGATGCATGTTGTCGAGTACTAACTTGATTCTAATAAATTCATAAAAAAAAAAAAAAATCTATATTTTTATGTGTAAATAATAAAAAATATCATTTTTACTTGAAACCATCGAGTAGAAAGAATTGAATTTAATGCATTTAAACAATTTATTTTAGATAAAAGTTCATCAGACTGATCTAAAGATATTTAAATTCTTTAGAAATTTTATGTAACAAAAAAAAAATTTTTACTTTCAGATTTGTCTTGTTGTTGAATAGAAAATGAAGTAAATGCTATCGAAATATACATCATTCCTTCTTCAGTATTCGTTTGTAATTCTATAGTTTCGTTATCGATTTGATATTGAATTTGAATTTTATTTTTCCATGTATCCTATTTTTTTTTTTTTGAAAATTTCAATTATGATTTAAGAAAAAAGAAAGATTTTTTTTTTTTGGTTTTACATCAAAATTATCAGATAATATTGCTGCAATTGTTTGAAAGAGTTTTTTTGTTGGCCATTCTGCACAAAGAACAACAATATGAAATAAACGATCGGTTTTGATTATTAAACTTTTTCCAAGTAAACCAATACGACATACACCCATTAAAGGTGATTGATTACTAAAGAAAATAATTAAATTAAAAAAAGAAGTTTTTCTTTTCAGAAAGAAAAAAGAATTCATATTTACGTATTTGTTTCAGATATAGAAGAATTATCATTAACTGAGGATGTGTGGGATGTTTGAAGTCGTTCTGAACAAGATTTTAAACCTGATTCAACAGCATTAACAAATTGTTCAATAGTATTAAGCTAAAAATATCAAAAAATTTAAAGCATAACACAAAACGTAGTTCATTTATTATTATATTTTTTGATAGGAAAATAAAGTCTATAAAAGATTAGAGATGCATGAGACCATGTGTTTTTGGTCTCAATTGCGATAATTTTATTTTTTCAGGCGTCGATCGGAAGAAAACTTTATATGGATTAATAGAAAAGAAAATTCTTTTCAAAGCGTATTGATTAAAGAGACATAAGGATAGTCATTTTGTGTCGTGTCTAGGCATCGGCGTGACCATGACCAAAACCTGGTCACGATAAATTTTCAATGTAACTATAAAGCAGTTATTTTCAAACTTTATTAGAGAATTAAATATTATATTTAGTATTCTTTCAATATCCTTTTCTAATTATGCTAACTTAAAACGAAGGACTAAAACCAATACAATCGCGATACCAGAAAAAATATACTCAGTATTAATATATTTTAAACTGTTCGCATAGAAATATTTTAGAAAAAAGTGTACCATTAAAAAAATATTATGACCTCCTTGAACAAGATTTGTCATTTTCATATATGTTCGACTTTTATCTGATGACTTATTTGACGATTGATCATTTCCCTACTTGTTCTGATTTCGCCCATTTCTATTCAGGTTTTGACCAAATACATTTTCAAGAACTTTAGGAAATTTTCTCAAAAAAAAAAACTCATCAATTTTTTTCGTTTATCTGTTATATTACCTTTTGCCTCTTCGCACGAGGAGATCCGAGGTTTTCTATTGTGTCTAATCCTAAAACTTTTCCAGAGAGTCTTGGGTAATGTCTCTTTTCTTTTTACAGATTGCAACTAAAAAAATTGTTCAGAAAGCCACAGCGATTTTAATGCTTTGAGAAGGAATTTTTCGGATTTTAAAAGTCTAGATAAAATGTTGAAAACACTTAGTTAAATTCTTCAGCTAAAAACTCTGAAAACTAATCATATTATGATGTAAATCCAGTGGTTGAAGTTGTCATTTTTCGAAAAATTCGATAATTGAATAAGATCTTATACTAAGTGTCGCACGTATTTCTCCAAGGGAGTCTTCTATTATGGAAAGCCTTCTAATATAGGGACCTCGTATCGGAAGAGAAGGGTATGCTATTTTGAGAAAAAAGAAAATAGTCGTTTGTACAGAGACTGACGTAGATACCGTGACTCACGGTCACGATGGCAACGGTTGTGATCGTGACCGTAACCGTGACCAAAAAATGTTGGTCACGCCGATGTCAGGTCGTGTCCTCTAAATGCTACAAAAAGTGCAGATTTTTTTAAAAGGATGATTCTCTTTTCTGCCGCATCATATAAAAACAAATTATATACGTTTCGAAAGAGAAGAAAAAATTCTGTTTTTTAGTAGAGAAAGTTTTCTTGCAGTAAATAAGGATCAATATTTAATGTCATCTCTTTTTGCATCATTATAACCTGTATTGCGAAAGTCTTGGCAGAAAATATTCGCTCATATTTAGACTACTAAAAGACAACTGATTAGAACCATAGTCAGAACTTTTTTTTATTTCAGAACATATGTTCTGATTTTCCTTCTCGGTTAAGATTGAGCAACTATCTGTAAGTTTTGCGAAAAAAAACTTTTGATAAGTTTCAATGGAAATATAAAACTGATCAAAAATAATATTCTGTACAACGATTATTTTGAACCTTTTGAAACAATTTAATGATAATTATCCAATCTTGCCGTTACAATGAAAGATTTTATACTTTTAGAAAAGAAACATTAGATAAATGTTTGAATCAAATTAAAGTTCTTACTGCCAAAATAATAAATTTAATATATGAACTATTCATGGTGTGCACCAAGAGAGATAATGAATTTTTTACCACCAGTAATGAGGTAATTAAAAGCTGAGATAGGATGAATGACGTTTTACGACAATTTTGACACTATTTATTTTTCTCATTTTATGATGATTGGATAGATCTCATTGAATTCTGTAAGAAAAAATATATTTCTAACTTAAAAATAATTTGAAAAGATTTTATAAAATTCAGAATCTTCTGATATCATTTCTTTATATGTGATGGTAATGGTACCTTGAATCTTTCGCATTAAGTTTTTTTCTGTTTTTAATTTCGTAACATACTTTCTCTTATGCAATTCGATCAGCTCTATGCAACCATCACGAAAAAGAAAAGAAAGACAAATAATATTAAAATTTTGACTTGCAGATATCTTACATATACTGTAAACACCTCAAAAATCCATTATCTTGCTTGAGACATATTATGAGTAATTCATATTTTAAATTTCTTTATTTTGGCA